TTGTCGAGCGGAGCTTATCATATGAGTAATTGTCTGTTGTCGTCCGTGTCAATGTTTTACAATGCTTTGATACTTGGTGTACATTGTATATGTACCTTGGGTAGACCTCTCTCAGATTTGTTCATTTCAAAACTCAGATTCGAATTTCAGTTAGATCTGAAAATATGTGCGATGCACTAGAATGACATTACGAAAACATGCGATCTTCGGGTAAAGACGTGTCAATTAACTACCAGCAAGATTAGCCATGGCTCACACCTCCTCTCTTACATGCCCCCCAATTCACACATACAATAGGTGTTGCTAGTCTGTTCTATAGTAGTCTGAGGTGTAACATAGGCAGAACAAAACACTTTCATCATTAACACATAAACAATACACATAAACACTAAATTACCAGACAATAATATCACAAAACAAGCATACCTTGAAGTTGAACAAAAGAAATCCAATTTACAATGGTACTCTTCAATACAAAAAATGATGAACAACATGAACTTTTCACGAGAACAACAGAATGATTGGTTAACAAAACATATACAGCAAATTGGCAAAGTTGTCAAACAAAAATACATAAATTTCTGGAGAAAAAATATAACTGAAAAAACAAAGCTGAGAACTTATGAAAAATTCAAAGACTCTTATAATTTTGAAAAATACTTAGATGTGCTAAATTTGAAACAAAGAATTTCAATGACAAAATTTCGAACTCGTAATCACAATTTAGCAATAGAAAAAGGGAGACATATGCAACCAAAAATACCTACTGAAAATAGAATTTGCAAACAATGTTCACAGAATGAAATAGAAGATGAACTGCACTTTGTTATGAAATGTCCACAATATAAAGTAATACGCCAACAAATCATACAAGACATTATATTTCCACAAGAAACCCAGGATGATCTCCAGAAATTTAATTTCTTGATGACTTCAAAAGATGATGTAATAATAAAAAAGATTGGCAACTATATTCATAATGCATTTCAATCAAGAAATAAAAATGCCATTTGATATGTAACACTTGCTTTATCTTTTTTTTTAACAACTAACTTTCTTTTTTTTAAAATTGAAAATTACTTAATGAATATGCAGAACCATAATCTTAGGAGGTTAATTGCAAATTTCAGGACAAGCAACCATGACCTTAAAATTGAGAAAGGCAGACATAATAATGTGCCACTGGATAAAAGAACATGTGATTTGTGCAGCCAAAATATAATTGAGGATGAGTAGCATTTTGTAATGAAATGTACAGCCCACCATACTCTAGCACCAGCAAAACAGCAACAACTATCAGTGTATTAGGTTACATTTTGTGTTCATTCTATATTCTGTATTCACCATTGGTTGCAAATTGTCTTTATTGTTTATTCATATTTGTTTTTGATTTTTTTTATATTTTTAGAATAGGTTTTTCTTTTTCTTTTTAGATTATAGTTTTTAAATTTCTTTCTGTAAGACCCTTTTATCCTTTCCTAAGGATTTTATGCGTCTAATGGATATTGTTATTATTATTATTATAAACAAAGCTAGGTCTAACACCTCTCCACCCCAAAACAGACTTTTGATGTGTTCTTTATAAATGTATTGTATTTGACGTGTACTTTTGATGTGTACTTATTTTACGCTTGTCTCAACGGAATTTTCTGTTTTACTTTTTTATATTATGATTTTTTTCTTTATGTAATTTATCTATAT